AAGCACATTATTGTTGAACCCTTTTGACCACATTAAAGATCCTCTTCATCTCAAAGCTTCAAGCCACTTCTTGTCAAGTGATCATTAAAAAAGTCCATTTGAACCAGCAGTAACTATGCTAACAGCTTGTAACGGTTTAGCGTGCAAGTCAATTTTGTGATTTGTTGATATTATGGGGTGCCAGTCAGTCAAGCGGCCTGTGGTCGACAGTAAGTTTATGATCAAATTCGGCACTCAAATCAACACTTGACTTGCCTACAATAAAATCCATAGATGACAATGGTTTAAGTTTAAACGTTTATAATCACTACCAAGGCATTTTTGACAAGCTATGCCAGGCTGCTGCTCCTGGCAACGGCATGCAGGAAAACAAACGGGCTATAGCCTACAATGTAAACAAATAATTTAAAAAAAACTTGCAGGTTGTCTTAACTTACATCTAGGCTATGCATCAAAAATCAAGCCTTCAGCACAGAACATGGCCAATCCCAAATGAAAAACGAGTCAGCCTCCTAACACTACAGCCAGAAGCCCCTGTGTGAGCAGACTGTATCATATGTGTCGATGTAATGGGTTACAAATCGTGTTTATTTCTGTTTTATCCAGAGATGCTCACAAGTCTTTGAGCTAGGGTCCAAGTCAAGTTCAATCCAGGTTGCTAATAAAACTGCAGAGCAATAAGGAATTCTGTAACTGTAACCTGTTTTTCATTTACAGAGCACAACCATGTAAAGTACAATTCAATTATTGACGGCTTATTAAATACTGTAAGTCAAAACACTCCCCAGACTCCTAAACCCAGTGTAACGTTAACTAAACAAAACTGTAAAGTTAACATGGTCAACAATTAAGCTCTAACCTGTTTTTAACTTACAGAGCACAACCATATAATGTGCAATGCAGTTAATGACAGCTTATAAACTACTCTAAGTCAACACCAGCGTAATGTTATAATTAAATAAAACTGTAAGGTTAGGTTACATGATCAACAATAAACCTGTAACGTCTTTCTAGCCAACGGTAATAATTAACGTGATGGCAGCCAGCGGGACGTAAATGATTACGTTAATCGACCACCACAAGTTTGGCAAGTAAACAAACGCTCGTTCATCTTTTCATAACGCACAGTCGGCGCAAACCTCCGGTAGGTCGTAGCTGAAGCAAGAAGCAAGCAAACGTTAGATGGCCAATACTGAGCTAAACATGTTCACTCACCACATATTTGCGTTCAGCTCGTCTTTGTTTGGGTCTTGTTGTATGAAGTTTTAAAGCCAAGGTTTATGATAAATGGCACAGCAGCTGCCGGTGTTTGTTGTCCTCTCTCACGTGCGGCCGCACACAGCAGATGCTACGTAGGCAGGTTATAGGTAACTTTGGGAGGGAATAACAGCAAGCTCATCAGACATTTCTTAAAAATAAACATTGTTCACGAGTCCCGCGCCTCGAGTCCAAGTCGAGTCTGAAGTCACTGTGTGTGCGACTTAAGTCGCACTCGAGTCCGAGTCTCTAACTCGAGTCCGCATCTCCATCTCCAACTTCTCCTAGTTTCTTTTAATTGATGGATGTCTTAAACAGTAAAAGTCCCAGGGGCGTAAATAAGTGGGGCCCTTTCAGTCTCAGGCTGAAATGCAGGGTTCTAAAGGGACTCCAGTGTTACATAGCGCCTAGCTGGCACTGCGAGCCCAGAGACAGAGGCCACTCACCTTTTTACAAGTCAGTATAGCATCAAATGATTTTGAAGCTGTTGTTTTCAGATAAAATTACTGTTGCTTTAAGTACAGTACTAAATGTATTACATTCCACCACTGTCTATAAGATGAAGAGACAGTGGGCTCCCTTCTTATGTCACACCAGAGGCTTCCCATAGGCCACCAGTATTAATAAACATATTAATCTGTCACTGTGAATCGAGTCCATCATATCACAGCTGACGCTGACAAGTCCAGATCCCAGTTTTATTATAAAAAAAAAAACAATATCGGCCTCACACATCAGTGTGATCCAGGTCAGATCCTGGTACTTCCTCTGAACTGAAGTTTATTATTGCAAACGATCTGCGAGGGAGTGGCAACGTGGAGAGAGTTGGTTTGTTTACCATCAGATGTGATCCGCTATCACGCTGCATCTGTGAGTAATGGTTCAATGACAAAACCGCCGCCAGGAGAGCGTGGATTATGACAGTGAGGTAAACAGTGATAAACACCGGCCTCATAACCTTTCATAAGCTCCCCTTCAGCGCTCAGGAGTTATCTTGTCGTCGACCAAGTCTGTGTGTGTGTGTGTTGGTTTTATTTCTCTACCTTGAAAATTTTCTTTGCGAGGATAAAAAAAATATGAGGCAATTATCCAAAGTGACATGTTGACAGTCTTCACTTCTTTACATGAGTCTTCCCTCCAACACCAATATTAGAAAAACTTCTCTCCCTCTGCGCTGAGGGTGAGGTCGCACGACAGTTTAGCAGAATAATGAAAACCTGTGTGTGAAACTTTAACAGGTAAATGAACCCAGTCACAGTTTCTGTATCTGGAACCCAGTAGGTATTTATTTAGGTGATGCCAGATACAGACTTCAAGGTTCTAAGAGGGCCAGATTTGAATGAAAGTTTTTTAGACGGACAGTTTACATATAACCATAGTTTCAACAGTATTTAAATTTCCTGACAGTTTGTGCAGAAATTCTTTGGTTATGCAAACCGATTGTTGCAGCAGCAGTCCGGGGGGCTGGTCTCAGACCATCTTGGAGGTGAAGATGCTGGATGTGGAGGTCCTGGGCTGTTGTGGTTACACGTGGTCGGCGGTTTTGAGGCCGGTTGGACGTACCGCCACATTCTCTGAAACACCTTTGGAGACGGCTTTTATGAGGGGGTTAAAACATTAAAAAACATTGTCAGTGCCTGTGTGACAGTTTTCAGTGTGCGTGTGTCTGTTTTTCAATGTTTTCATGGTAGAGAAATTCACGGGCAACAGCTCCGGTGGACATTCCTGCAGTCAGCATGCCAATTGCACACTCCCTCAAAAACTTGCGACATCTGTGGCATTGTGCTGTGTGATGGAACTGCACATTTTGGAGTGGCCTTTTATTGTGGCCATCCTAAGGCCTTTTATTTTGGCCAGCCTAAGGCACACCTGTGCAATCCCCATGCTGTCTGATCAGCATCTTGAAATGCCACACCTGTGAGGTGGATGGATTATCTCTGCAAAGGAGAAGTGCTCACTAACACAGATTTTGACAGATTTGTGAACAATATTTGAGAGAAATAGGCCTTTTGTGTACATAGAGAAAGTCTTAGATCTTTGAGTTCAGCTCATGATGAATATAAATACACTGGTAATAATAATAATAATAATAACTGGTCATAAATTTTAGAACACCCCTATTTTTCTATCTTATTGAAATCTAAGTAGTTCAAGTCCAGTGAAAAAAAATTAAATGGTACAAAAGTCAGCAGAAAACTGTCAAAGTTAAAAACAATGTTATTTCACTATAGGATCAACAAATGACCATGGTCTGTGTTCCTTCATTAGAGGTTCAGTGTGTAAGTTTTAGTGGCATCTAGTGGTGAGGGTTGTGAATTGCAATCAGCTGTAGGATTTTCTTTTTTCTAATAAAGCAGTTGACAACTACTACTAACGGTACTTGTTGTTCTTCTTCTTCTTTGTATGTAACAACTTAGTGAGGTTTTTTTCTCAGTGTAGAGCAGTTTGTCCTTTTGGGCTGCTGTAGAAACATGGCGGCGCAACGTGGTGTCGTCCATGTAAGAGGTGTTTGTACATAGAAATGACCCATTGTGAAGTAATAAAAACATAACGCTTCATTATGTAAGCTCTTTACACACCACTGAATATTGCACACTGAACCTTAATATTAGACATGATATATATTCTATTTTAAAAATAAAGCTTCTGAGGGTGTTTACTGTAGAAATGTGTTTCAAAGCTTCATTTCCTGTCACTGGTACAGAATAACTTGAAGTTGTCAACTCATTACTTGAACCCTGAAAATTGTTTATCTCTGAAATTCACATTATTTCTCAGTTTTGCTGACCTAAACTTTGTCTTTCCTTCTTTGGTTATTCAGCAGCAGTGGAAGGAAATGAAGCCTTGAAAGTTGATGGGAAAACACATTTCTAGAGCTGTTCCCATGTGTAAACCCCCTCAGAAGGTTTATTTGTACAATATAATATATATTATCTATAATATTAATCAGGGAAGACAAACCAGGTGGTCATCGGTTAATCCTACGGTGAAATAATGAGCGGAACGCCTTCATTTAATTGTTGATTTTATATATAAAAATGTCAGACTTGAACTACTTGTATTTCAATACACACAAGAAACATAGCGGTGTTCTGAAAACTTTTGTAGTGTATACACACTTATATAAGAGTTTGATGGGTAAAAACACATTTCTTTATTCTGCTGTGGAATAATCCTCCTTTAAGCCAAGAATTGATCTTCATAGTGTCCTTGAACAGATGATTTCTCTCATTTATATTAGGAGAGCTTGGAACATATAGCCACTCATGTTTTGTCTCGACTGGTGTTATGGTTTTATGTTTTTATCCACAATGGAAATGAACCTTTTAGGTCGGAGCCGGTGAAAGGCTGACAGGGGGAGAGAGAGAGGGAGAGGGAGGGAGGGAGAACAGCAACAAAGGGGATGTTAGGATTATATGGTCTTGATTCGCCGAGGCCACCAAGATGCCCCAAAAGCTCCAATGTATAAAATATGCAGAGCTGTACGACACAGAAGGAGAGTAAGATCATCTGCAGGGTTCAGTCAAAGAATACACAATGTCACTGATGGTACTCACAACTGTAGTGATGCTGTGTGTGTGTGTGTGTCTGTGTCAGAGTGTCCTCAGAGCAGGGAGCCCAGTGTGTCTCCTCACAGAGGCTCAGTCAGCAGTCTGGAGAGAGAAAGTCCTGAACCAGGAGAGGCCAGCGAGGACGAGCCGCTGCACTACCAGCACTACTACCCCCACAGCTACCCCCACAGGGTAAATATAATCCACTAATACCCCCACAGGGTAAATATATACCACTACTACCCCCACAGCTACCCCCACAGGGTAAATATAATCCACTAATACCCCCACAGGGTAAATATATACCACTACTACCCCCACAGGGTAAATATAATCCACTAATACCCCCACAGGGTAATATATACCACTACTACCCCCACAGGGTAAATATATACCACTACTACCCCCACAGCTACCCCCACAGGGTAAATATAATCCACTAATACCCCCACAGGGTAAATATATACCACTACTACCCCCACAGCTACCCCCACAGGGTAAATATAATCCACTAATACCCCCACAGGGTAAATATATACCACTACTACCCCCACAGGGTAAATATAATCCACTAATACCCCCACAGGGTAAATATATACCACTACTAACCCCACAGGGTAAATATACCACTACTACCCCCACAGCTACCCCCACAGGGTAAATATAATCCACTAATACCCCCACAGGGTAAATATATACCACTACTACCCCCACAGCTACCCCCACAGGGTAAATATAATCCACTAATACCCCCACAGGGTAAATATATACCACTACTACCCCCACAGCTACCCCCACAGGGTAAATATAATCCACTAATACCCCCACAGGGTAAATATACCACTACTACCCCCACAGGGTAAATATAATCCACTAATACCCCCACAGGGTAAATATATACCACTACTACCCCCACAGGGTAAATATATACCACTACTACCCCCACAGCTACCCCCACAGGGTAAATATAATCCACTAATACCCCCACAGGGTAAATATATACCACTACTACCCCCACAGCTACCCCCACAGGGTAAATATAATCCACTAATACCCCACAGGGTAAATATATACCACTACTACCCCCACAGCTACCCCCACAGGGTAAATATAATCCACTAATACCCCACAGGGTAAATATATACCACTACTACCCCCACAGGGTAAATATATCCACTAATACCCCCACAGGGTAAATATATACCACTACTACCCCCACAGGGTAAATATATACCACTACTACCCCCACAGCTACCCCCACAGGGTAAATATAATCCACTAATACCCCCACAGGGTAAATATATACCACTACTACCCCCACAAACAAACCCCACAGGGTAAATATATACTACAGCTACCCCCACAGGGTAAATATAATCCACTAATACCCCCACAGGGTAAATATATACCACTACTACCCCCACAGCTACCCCCACAGGGTAAATATAATCCACTAATACCCCCACAGGGTAATATATACCACTACTACCCCCACAGGGTAAATATAATCCACTAATACCCCCACAGGGTAAATATATACCAATACTACCCCCACAGGGTAAATATATACCACTACTACCCCCACAGCTACCCCCACAGGGTAAATATAATCCACTAATACCCCCACAGGGTAAATATATACCACTACTACCCCCACAAACAAACCCCACAGGGTAAATATACTACAGCTACCCCCACAGGGTAAATATAATCCACTAATACCCCCACAGGGTAAATATATACCACTACTACCCCCACAGCTACCCCCACAGGGTAAATATAATCCACTAATACCCCCACAGGGTAAATATATACCACTACTACCCCCACAGGGTAAATATAATCCACTAATACCCCCACAGGGTAAATATATACCACTACTACCCCACAGGGTAAATATATACCACTACTACCCCCACAGCTACCCCCACAGGGTAAATATAATCCACTAATACCCCCACAGGGTAAATATATACCACTACTACCCCCACAAACAAACCCCACAGGGTAAATATATACTACAGCTACCCCCACAGGGTAAATATAATCCACTAATACCCCCACAGGGTAAATATATACCACTACTACCCCCACAAACTAACCCAACAGGGTAAATATAAACCACTACTACCCCCACAGCTACCCCCACAGGGTAAATATATACTACTATTACCCCCACGGGGTAAATAAATATCACTGCTACCCCCACAGCTACCCCCACAGGGTAAATATAATCCACTAATACCCCCACAGGGTAATATAACCACTACTAACCCCACAGGGTAAATATATACCACAGCTACCCCCACAGGTAAATATAATCCACTAATACCCCCACAGGATAAATATATACCACTACTACCCCACAGCTACTCCCACAGGGTAAATATACCACTACTAACCCCACAGGGTAAATATATACCACTACTACCCCCACAGGGTAAATATATACCACTACTAACCCCACAGGGTAAATATATACCACTACTAACCCCACAGGGTAAATATATGCCACTACTAACCCCACAGGGTAAATATATACCACTACTAACCCCACAGGGTAAATATACCACTACTACCCCACAGCTATCCCTACAGGGTAAATATAATCCACTAATACCCCCACAGGCTAAATATATACCATAACTACCCCCACAGGGTAAATATATACCACTGCTAACCCCACAAACTAACCCCACAGGGTAAATATACCACTACTAACCCCATAGGGAAAATCTATGCCACTACTACCCCACAGCTACCCTCACAGGGTAAATATTTACCACTACTACCCCCACAGGGTAAATATATACCACTACTAACCCCATAGGGTAAATATTTACCACTGCTAACCCCATAGGGTAAATATATACCACTACTAACCCCATAGGGTAAATATTTACCACTACTACCCCCACAGGATAAATATATACCACTACTAACCCCATAGGGTAAATATTTACCACTACTAACCCCTCAGGGTAAATATATACCACTACTAACCCCACAGGGTAAATATATACCACTACTAACCCCTCAGGGTAAATATATACCACTACTAACCCCTCAGGGTAAATATATACCACTACTAACCCCACAGGGTAAATATATACCACTACTAACCCCTCAGGGTAAATATATACCACTACTAACCCCACAGGTAAATATATACCACTACTAACCCCACAGGGTAAATATATACCACTACTAACCCCTCAGGGTAAATATATACCACTACTAACCCCACAGGGTAAATATATACCACTACTAACCCCTCAGGGTAAATATATACCACTACTAACCCCACAGGGTAAATATATACCACTACTAACCCCATAGGGAAAATCTATGGCACTACTACCCCACAGCTACCCTCACAGGGTAAATATTTACCACTACTACCCCCACAGGATAAATATATACCACTACTAACCCCATAGGGTAAATATTTACCACTACTACCCCCACAGGGTAAATATTTACCACTACTAACCCCACAAACAAACCCCACAGGGTAAATATATACCACTACTAACCCCACAGCTATCCCTACAGGGTAAATATAATCCACTAATACCCCCACAGGCTAAATATATACCATAACTACCCCCACAGGGTTAATATTTACCACTACTACTCCCACAAACAAACCCCACAGCGTAAATAAATACCACTACTAACCCCTCAGGGTAAATATATACCACTACTAACCCCACAAACTAACCCCACAGTGTAAATATATACCACTGCTAACCCCACAAACTAACCCCACAGGGTAAATATATACCACTACTAACCCCATAGGGAAAATCTATGCCACTACTACCCCACAGCTACCCTCACAGGGTAAATATTTACCACTACTACCCCCACAGGGTAAATAAATACCACTACTAACCCCTCAGGGTAAATATATACCACTACCAACCCCACAAACTAACCCCACAGTGTAAATATTTACCACTACTAACCCCACAAACAAACCCCACAGCGTAAATAAATACCACTACTAACCCCTCAGGGTAAATATATACCACTACTACCCCCACAGCTACTCCCACAGGGTAAATATATACCACTACTAACCCCACAGGGTAAATATATACCACTACTACCCCCACAGGGTAAATATATACCACTACTAACCCCACAGGGTAAATATTTACCACTACTAACCCCACAAACAAACCCCACAGCGTAAATAAATACCACTACTAACCCCTCAGGGTTAATATATACCACTACTACCCCCACAGCTACTCCCACAGGGTAAATATATACCACTACTAACCCCACAGGGTAAATATATACCACTACTACCCCCACAGGGTAAATATATACCACTACTAACCCCACAGGGTAAATATATGCCACTACTAACCCCACAGGGTAAATATATACCACTACTACCCCCACAGCTATCCCTACAGGGTAATATAATCCACTAATACCCCACAGGCTAAATATATACCATACCCCCCACAGGGTAAATATACCACTGCTAACCCCACAGGGTAAATATATGCCACTACTAACCCCACAGGGTAAATATATACCACTACTACCCCCACAGCTATCCCTACAGGGTAAATATAATCCACTAATACCCCCACAGGCTAAATATAACCATAACTACCCCCAGGGTAAATATATACCACTACTAACCCCACAAACTAACCCCACAGGGTAAATATATACCACTGCTAACCCCATAGGGAAAATCTATGCCACTACTACCCACAGCTACCCTCACAGGGTAATATTTACCACTACTACCCCCACAGGGTAAATATATACCACTACTAACCCCATAGGGTAAATATTTACCACTGCTAACCCCATAGGGTAAATATTTACCACTGCTAACCTCATAGGGTAAATATATACCACTACTAACCCCATAGGTAAATTTACCACTACTACCCCCACAGGGTAAATATATACCACTACTAACCCCATAGGGTAAATATATACCACTACTAACCCCTCAGGGTAAATATATACCACTACTAACCCCACAGGGTAAATATATACCACTACTAACCCCTCAGGGTAAATATATACCACTACTAACCCCACAGGGTAAATATATACCACTACTAACCCCATAGGGAAAATCTATGGCACTACTACCCCACAGCTACCCTCACAGGGTAAATATTTACCACTACTACCCCCACAGGGTAAATATA